GCAGTTAAAAGCCTTTTCTAATTTCTGTGTACTGTAAATGTTTAAACTGCCCATTGACTCAAATATTACTTTGTTTTACTCTCCACGTATCCAAAAAAAAAAAAACAATTTATCTCAGTAAGATAGTCAGTTGTCCATTGCATTGGCCGGGAATCGAACCCGGGCTCCCGCGTGGCAGGCGAGAATTCTACCACTGAACCACCAATGCACGAGCTGGCTGGAAATGGTGCTTACGGAAAATCCTCGGCAGATGCTGTCAAAAATGAAAAGACACATAGAAGAGTGAAACAGTCATTCTGAAGTAAGGCTTGCAAAAGGCTGCAATCTCCCCGTCGGGGAATTGAACCCCGGTCTCCCGCGTGACAGGCGGGGATACTCACCACTATACTAACGAGGAACTGTTGGAAGCACCCAGTCAGACAGGACTGAGCAAATCTTAAACAAGACATGGATGAAAAGATTTGGCTTGAGCTGGAATCGTTTGTGTTTTTTTATCTCTCAAACATGCTCACAATCCCTAGCACCTCTGTAAATGTAGGACCTCTCTGGCCACATTTGTGTTGTTTTTATCTCTCAAACATGCTCACAATCCCTAGTGAAGTTGCTTCTTCAGGTCAGCTAACCCAAATTCTCCTCACAGAAATTTTTTGTAGGTAATGAACTCTTTAAGCAGCAAACAATTTTCCAGAGTTTATGTTAAGCTGACACTGCACGGAACACAAAAGTTTCATTGGAATTGACCAAAAGTAAATAATGAGATTGAATATTTTGAGCTACAATGGATTATTGCAAACTTCAGTAAAGGTGGGCCTTATTCGGCCACAACATAATTTCTCGAGAAGGCTCACAAAGGCACTGCCATAGTTTTGTATCAACTACTTCTGAACTGAGACGGAGCCGTTTGAGCTGCCAATGATCTTGCCAGGTCACTTTATTCATGTCATACCCACACACATTGAACTGTCGTTGCTTTTGAAGTGGAATGCTCTGGAGGCACACTAGACTCGTTTGAATAGGATTTGTACTTCAAGCCCAATTGATCAACACATGTCGCAAAAGATAATGTTTTATGCCACGTTGCGTTTCACTGCCAGACCCAAAAGATCTTTTGTCTTATATTCCATCTCAATTTGAGGCAGTTAAAAGCCTTTTCTAATTTCTGTGTACTGTAAATGTTTAAACTGCCCATTGACTCAAATATTACTTTGTTTTACTCTCCACGTATCCAAAAAAAAAAACCAATTTATCTCAGTAAGATAGTCAGTTGTCCATTGCATTGGCCGGGAATCGAACCCGGGCCTCCTGTGGCAGGCGAGAATTCTACCACTGAACCACCAATGCACGAGCTGGCTGGAAATGGTGCGTTTACGGAAAATCCTCGGCAGATGCTGTCAAAAATGAAAAGACACATAGAAGAGTGAAACAGTCATTCTGAAGTAAGGCTTGCAAAAGGCTGCAATCTCCCCGTCGGGGAATTGAACCCCGGTCTCCCGCGTGACAGGCGGGGATACTCACCACTATACTAACGAGGAACTGTTGGAAGCACCCAGTCAGACAGGACTGAGCAAATCTTAAACAAGACATGGATGAAAAGATTTGGCTTGAGCTGGAATCGTTTGTGACGCACCTCTGTAAATGTAGGACCTCTCTGGCCACATTTGTGTTGTTTTTATCTCTCAAACATGCTCACAATCCCTAGTGAAGTTGTTTCTTCAGGTCAGCTAACCCAAATTCTCCTCACAGAAATTTTTTGTAGGTAATGACGCTTTAAGCAGCAAACAATTTTCCAGAGTTTATGTTAAGCTGACACTGCACGGAACACAAAAGTTTCATTGGAATTGACCAAAAGTAAATAATGAGATTGAATATTTTGAGCTACAATGGATTATTGCAAACTTCAGTAAAGGTGGGCCTTATTCGGCCACAACATAATTTCTCGAGAAGGCTCACAAAGGCACTGCCATAGTTTTGTATCAACTACTTCTGAACTGAGACGGAGCCGTTTGAGCTGCCAATGATCTTGCCAGGTCACTTTATTCATGTCATACCCACACACATTGAACTGTCGTTGCTTTTGAAGTGGAATGCTCTGGAAGCACACTAGACTCGTTTGAATAGGATTTGTACTTCAAGCCCAATTGATCAACACATGTCGCAAAAGATAATGTTTTATGCCACGTTGCGTTTCACTGCCAGACCCAAAAGATCTTTTGTCTTATATTCCATCTCAATTTGAGGCAGTTAAAAGCCTTTTCTAATTTCTGTGTACTGTAAATGTTTAAACTGCCCATTGACTCAAATATTACTTTGTTTTACTCTCCACGTATCCAAAAAACCCAATTTATCTCAGTAAGATAGTCAGTTGTCCATTGCATTGGCAGATTGGGAGAATCGAACCCGGGCCTCCTGTGTTGTTTTTATCTCTCAAACATGCTCACAATCCCTAGTGAAGTTGCTTCTTCAGGTCAGCTAACTAACCCAAATTCTCCTCACAGAAATTTTTGTAGGTAATGAACTCTTTAAGCAGCAAACAATTTTCCAGAGTTTATGTTAAGCTGACACTGCACGGAACACAAAAGTGTCATTGGAATTGACCAAAAGTAAATAATGAGATTGAATATTTTGAGCTACAATGGATTATTGCAAACTTCAGTAAAGGTGGGCCTTATTCGGCCACAACATAATTTCTCGAGAAGGCTCACAAAGGCACTGCCATAGTTTTGTATCAACTACTTCTGAACTGAGACGGGCCGTTTGAGCTGCCAATGATCTTGCCAGGTCACTTTATTCATGTCATACCCACACACATTGAACTGTCGTTGCTTTTGAAGTGGAATGCTCTGGAGGCACACTAGACTCGTTTGAATAGGATTTGTACTTCAAGCCCAATTGATCAACACATGTCGCAAAAGATAATGTTTTATGCCACGTTGCGTTTCACTGCCAGACCCAAAAGATCTTTTGTCTTATATTCCATCTCAATTTGAGGCAGTTAAAAGCCTTTTCTAATTTCTGTGTACTGTAAATGTTTAAACTGCCCATTGACTCAAATATTACTTTGTTTTACTCTCCACGTATCCAAAAAAAAAAAAAAAAAAACCAATTTATCTCAGTAAGATAGTCAGTTGTCCATTGCATTGGCCGAAATCGAACCCGGGCCTGGCAGGCGAGAATTCTACCACTGAACCACCAATGCACGAGCTGGCTGGAAATGGTGCGTTTACGGAAAATCCTCGGCAGATGCTGTCAAAAATGAAAAGACACATAGAAGAGTGAAACAGTCATTCTGAAGTAAGGCTTGCAAAAGGCTGCAATCTCCCCGTCGGGGAATTGAACCCCGGTCTCCCGCGTGACAGGCGGGGATACTCACCACTATACTAACGAGGAACTGTTGGAAGCACCCAGTCAGACAGGACTGAGCAAATCTTAAACAAGACATGGATGAAAAGATTTGGCTTGAGCTGGAATCGTTTGTGACGCACCTCTGTAAATGTAGGACCTCTCTGGCCACATTTGTGTTGTTTTTATCTCTCAAACATGCTCACAATCCCTAGTGAAGTTGTTTCTTCAGGTCAGCTAACCCAAATTCTCCTCACAGAAATTTTTGTAGGTAATGAACGCTTTAAGCAGCAAACAATTTTCCAGAGTTTATGTTAAGCTGACACTGCACGGAACACAAAAGTTTCATTGGAATTGACCCGAAGTAAATAATGAGATTGAATATTTTGAGCTACAATGGATTATTGCAAACTTCAGTAAAGGTGGGCCTTATTCGGCCACAACATAATTTCTCGAGAAGGCTCACAAAGGCACTGCCATAGTTTTGTATCAACTACTTCTGAACTGAGACGGAGCCGTTTGAGCTGCCAATGATCTTGCCAGGTCACTTTATTCATGTCATACCCACACACATTGAACTGTCGTTGCTTTTGAAGTGGAATGCTCTGGAAGCACACTAGACTCGTTTGAATAGGATTTGTACTTCAAGCCCAATTGATCAACACATGTCGCAAAAGATAATGTTTTATGCCACGTTGCGTTTCACTGCCAGACCCAAAAGATCTTTTGTCTTATATTCCATCTCAATTTGAGGCAGTTAAAAGCCTTTTCTAATTTCTGTGTACTGTAAATGTTTAAACTGCCCATTGACTCAAATATTACTTTGTTTTACTCTCCACGTATCCAAAAACCCAATTTATCTCAGTAAGATAGTCAGTTGTCCATTGCATTGGCCGGGAATCGAACCCGGGCCTCCTGTGTTGTTTTTATCTCTCAAACATGCTCACAATCCCTAGTGAAGTTGCTTCTTCAGGTCAGCTAACCCAAATTCTCCTCACAGGTCAGCTAACCCAAATTCTCCTCACAGAAATTTTTGTAGGTAATGAACTCTTTAAGCAGCAAACAATTTTCCAGAGTTTATGTTAAGCTGACACTGCACGGAACACAAAAGTGTCATTGGAATTGACCAAAAGTAAATAATGAGATTGAATATTTTGAGCTACAATGGATTATTGCAAACTTCAGTAAAGGTGGGCCTTATTCGGCCACAACATAATTTCTCGAGAAGGCTCACAAAGGCACTGCCATAGTTTTGTATCAACTACTTCTGAACTGAGACGGGCCGTTTGAGCTGCCAATGATCTTGCCAGGTCACTTTATTCATGTCATACCCACACACATTGAACTGTCGTTGCTTTTGAAGTGGAATGCTCTGGAGGCACACTAGACTCGTTTGAATAGGATTTGTACTTCAAGCCCAATTGATCAACACATGTCGCAAAAGATAATGTTTTATGCCACGTTGCGTTTCACTGCCAGACCCAAAAGATCTTTTGTCTTATATTCCATCTCAATTTGAGGCAGTTAAAAGCCTTTTCTAATTTCTGTGTACTGTAAATGTTTAAACTGCCCATTGACTCAAATATTACTTTGTTTTACTCTCCACGTATCCAAAAAAAAAAAAAAAACAATTTATCTCAGTAAGATAGTCAGTTGTCCATTGCATTGGCCGAGGAATCGAACCCGGGCCTCCTGTGTGGCAGGCGAGAATTCTACCACTGAACCACCAATGCACGAGCTGGCTGGAAATGGTGCGTTTACGGAAAATCCTCGGCAGATGCTGTCAAAAATGAAAAGACACATAGAAGAGTGAAACAGTCATTCTGAAGTAAGGCTTGCAAAAGGCTGCAATCTCCCCGTCGGGGAATTGAACCCCGGTCTCCCGCGTGACAGGCGGGGATACTCACCACTATACTAACGAGGAACTGTTGGAAGCACCCAGTCAGACAGGACTGAGCAAATCTTAAACAAGACATGGATGAAAAGATTTGGCTTGAGCTGGAATCGTTTGTGACGCACCTCTGTAAATGTAGGACCTCTCTGGCCACATTTGTGTTGTTTTTATCTCTCAAACATGCTCACAATCCCTAGTGAAGTTGTTTCTTCAGGTCAGCTAACCCAAATTCTCCTCACAGAAATTTTTTGTAGGTAATGAACGCTTTAAGCAGCAAACAATTTTCCAGAGTTTATGTTAAGCTGACACTGCACGGAACACAAAAGTGTCATTGGAATTGACCCAAAGTAAATAATGAGATTGAATATTTTGAGCTACAATGGATTATTGCAAACTTCAGTAAAGGTGGGCCTTATTCGGCCACAACATAATTTCTCGAGAAGGCTCACAAAGGCACTGCCATAGTTTTGTATCAACTACTTCTGAACTGAGACGGAGCCGTTTGAGCTGCCAATGATCTTGCCAGGTCACTTTATTCATGTCATACCCACACACATTGAACTGTCGTTGCTTTTGAAGTGGAATGCTCTGGAAGCACACTAGACTCGTTTGAATAGGATTTGTACTTCAAGCCCAATTGATCAACACATGTCGCAAAAGATAATGTTTTATGCCACGTTGCGTTTCACTGCCAGACCCAAAAGATCTTTTGTCTTATATTCCATCTCAATTTGAGGCAGTTAAAAGCCTTTTCTAATTTCTGTGTACTGTAAATGTTTAAACTGCCCATTGACTCAAATATTACTTTGTTTTACTCTCCACGTATCCAAAAAAAAAAAAAAAACAATTTATCTCAGTAAGATAGTCAGTTGTCCATTGCATTGGCCGGGAATCGAACCCGGGCCTCCTGTGTTGTTTTTCTACCACTATTTCTCAAACATGCTCACAATCCCTAGTGAAGTTGTTTCTTCAGGTCAGCTAACCCAAATTCTCCTCACAGAAATTTTTGTAGGTAATGAACTCTTTAAGCAGCAAACAATTTTCCAGAGTTTATGTTAAGCTGACACTGCACGGAACACAAAAGTGTCATTGGAATTGACCAAAAGTAAATAATGAGATTGAATATTTTGAGCTACAATGGATTATTGCAAACTTCAGTAAAGGTGGGCCTTATTCGGCCACAACATAATTTCTCGAGAAGGCTCACAAAGGCACTGCCATAGTTTTGTATCAACTACTTCTGAACTGAGACGGGCCGTTTGAGCTGCCAATGATCTTGCCAGGTCACTTTATTCATGTCATACCCACACACATTGAACTGTCGTTGCTTTTGAAGTGGAATGCTCTGGAGGCACACTAGACTCGTTTGAATAGGATTTGTACTTCAAGCCCAATTGATCAACACATGTCGCAAAAGATAATGTTTTATGCCACGTTGCGTTTCACTGCCAGACCCAAAAGATCTTTTGTCTTATATTCCATCTCAATTTGAGGCAGTTAAAAGCCTTTTCTAATTTCTGTGTACTGTAAATGTTTAAACTGCCCATTGACTCAAATATTACTTTGTTTTACTCTCCACGTATCCAAAAAAAAACCAATTTATCTCAGTAAGATAGTCAGTTGTCCATTGCATTGGCCGAGAATCGAACCCGGGGCTCCCGCGTGGCAGGCGAGAATTCTACCACTGAACCACCAATGCACGAGCTGGCTGGAAATGGTGCGTTTACGGAAAATCCTCGGCAGATGCTGTCAAAAATGAAAAGACACATAGAAGAGTGAAACAGTCATTCTGAAGTAAGGCTTGCAAAAGGCTGCAATCTCCCCGTCGGGGAATTGAACCCCGGTCTCCCGCGTGACAGGCGGGGATACTCACCACTATACTAACGAGGAACTGTTGGAAGCACCCAGTCAGACAGGACTGAGCAAATCTTAAACAAGACATGGATGAAAAGATTTGGCTTGAGCTGGAATCGTTTGTGACGCACCTCTGTAAATGTAGGACCTCTCTGGCCACATTTGTGTTGTTTTTATCTCTCAAACATGCTCACAATCCCTAGTGAAGTTGTTTCTTCAGGTCAGCTAACCCAAATTCTCCTCACAGAAATTTTTTGTAGGTAATGAACGCTTTAAGCAGCAAACAATTTTCCAGAGTTTATGTTAAGCTGACACTGCACGGAACACAAAAGTGTCATTGGAATTGACCCAAAGTAAATAATGAGATTGAATATTTTGAGCTACAATGGATTATTGCAAACTTCAGTAAAGGTGGGCCTTATTCGGCCACAACATAATTTCTCGAGAAGGCTCACAAAGGCACTGCCATAGTTTTGTATCAACTACTTCTGAACTGAGACGGAGCCGTTTGAGCTGCCAATGATCTTGCCAGGTCACTTTATTCATGTCATACCCACACACATTGAACTGTCGTTGCTTTTGAAGTGGAATGCTCTGGAAGCACACTAGACTCGTTTGAATAGGATTTGTACTTCAAGCCCAATTGATCAACACATGTCGCAAAAGATAATGTTTTATGCCACGTTGCGTTTCACTGCCAGACCCAAAAGATCTTTTGTCTTATATTCCATCTCAATTTGAGGCAGTTAAAAGCCTTTTCTAATTTCTGTGTACTGTAAATGTTTAAACTGCCCATTGACTCAAATATTACTTTGTTTTACTCTCCACGTATCCAAAAAACCCAATTTATCTCAGTAAGATAGTCAGTTGTCCATTGCATTGGCCGGGAATCGAACCCGGGCCTCCTGTGTTGTTTTTATCTCTCAAACATGCTCACAATCCCTAGTGAAGTTGCTTCTTCAGGTCAGCTAACCCAAATTCTCCTCACAGAAATTTTTTGTAGGTAATGAACTCTTTAAGCAGCAAACAATTTTCCAGAGTTTATGTTAAGCTGACACTGCACGGAACACAAAAGTGTCATTGGAATTGACCAAAAGTAAATAATGAGATTGAATATTTTGAGCTACAATGGATTATTGCAAACTTCAGTAAAGGTGGGCCTTATTCGGCCACAACATAATTTCTCGAGAAGGCTCACAAAGGCACTGCCATAGTTTTGTATCAACTACTTCTGAACTGAGACGGGCCGTTTGAGCTGCCAATGATCTTGCCAGGTCACTTTATTCATGTCATACCCACACACATTGAACTGTCGTTGCTTTTGAAGTGGAATGCTCTGGAGGCACACTAGACTCGTTTGAATAGGATTTGTACTTCAAGCCCAATTGATCAACACATGTCGCAAAAGATAATGTTTTATGCCACGTTGCGTTTCACTGCCAGACCCAAAAGATCTTTTGTCTTATATTCCATCTCAATTTGAGGCAGTTAAAAGCCTTTTCTAATTTCTGTGTACTGTAAATGTTTAAACTGCCCATTGACTCAAATATTACTTGTTTTACTCTCCACGTATCCAAAAAAAAACCCAATTTATCTCAGTAAGATAGTCAGTTGTCCATTGCATTGGCCGAGGAATCGAACCCGGGGCTCCCGCGTGGCAGGCGAGAATTTACCACTGAACCACCAATGCACGAGCTGGCTGGAAATGGTGCGTTTATCCTCGGCAGATGCTGTCAAAAATGAAAAGACACATTGAAACAGTCATTCTGAAGTAAGGCTTGCAAAAGGCTGCAATCTCCCCGGCGGGAATTGAACCCGGTCTCCCGCGTGACAGGCGGGGATACTCACCACTATACTAACGAGGAACTGTTGGAAGCACCCAGTCAGACAGGACTGAGCAAATCTTAAACAAGACATGGATGAAAAGATTTGGCTTGAGCTGGAATCGTTTGTGACGCACCTCTGTAAATGTAGGACCTCTCTGGCCACATTTGTGTTGTTTTTATCTCTCAAACATGCTCACAATCCCTAGTGAAGTTGCTTCTTCAGGTCAGCTAACCCAAATTCTCCTCACAGAAATGTTTTGTAGGTAATGAACTCTTTAAGCAGCAAACAATTTTCCAGAGTTTATGTTAAGCTGACACTGCACGGAACACAAAAGTGTCATTGGAATTGACCAAAAGTAAATAATGAGATTGAATATTTTGAGCTACAATGGATTATTGCAAACTTCAGTAAAGGTGGGCCTTATTCGGCCACAACATAATTTCTCGAGAAGGCTCACAAAGGCACTGCCATAGTTTTGTATCAACTACTTCTGAACTGAGACGGAGCCGTTTGAGCTGCCAATGATCTTGCCAGGTCACTTTATTCATGTCATACCCACACACATTGAACTGTCGTTGCTTTTGAAGTGGAATGCTCTGGAGGCACACTAGACTCGTTTGAATAGGATTTGTACTTCAAGCCCAATTGATCAACACATGTCGCAAAAGATAATGTTTTATGCCACGTTGCGTTTCACTGCCAGACCCAAAAGATCTTTTGTCTTATATTCCATCTCAATTTGAGGCAGTTAAAAGCCTTTTCTAATTTCTGTGTACTGTAAATGTTTAAACTGCCCATTGACTCAAATATTACTTTGTTTTACTCTCCACGTATCCAAAAAAAAAAAAAACAATTTATCTCAGTAAGATAGTCAGTTGTCCATTGCATTGGCCGGAATCGAACCCGGGCTCCCGCGTGGCAGGCGAGAATTCTACCACTGAACCACCAATGCACGAGCTGGCTGGAAATGGTGCGTTTACGGAAAATCCTCGGCAGATGCTGTCAAAAATGAAAAGACACATAGAAGAGTGAAACAGTCATTCTGAAGTAAGGCTTGCAAAAGGCTGCAATCTCCCCGTCGGGGAATTGAACCCCGGTCTCCCGCGTGACAGGCGGGGATACTCACCACTATACTAACGAGGAACTGTTGGAAGCACC